AAAAAAAAAAAAAAAAAAACATCTAAAAAGTTGTTTTTTTTAGCGTCAAATCAACCCGTTTTTTCTTCGTATACTTTCGTTTGCTTGTCATTTTGCCGATGTTCGTTTCTTTTTTTTTGCTGTATTTTTTTTGCTACAGACGGATTAAACGATGTTTGTTTATATTCCAGCAAAAAGAAAAAAAAGAGAGAAAAAAAGTAAAAAAAGAAAAGCAAAAGCGAAAAAAAAAACGAGATTTTTTTGCGTAAATTTCCAACACAGTTCAGCTGAACGTTTCACCTATTGTGGTGAAGATTTTGTCCTTTTTTTGAAGTGCGTTTCAACAACCTCATTCTTCAATCGTCGTGTCTTCATCAATTTTGACGGCCCTGTTAATCTTTAAATAAACTTATCTATTTAATAACTTTTTTTTTCTCTGCATCTCCACTCCTTTTCTCTCACCGTTATGCTAAACTTCATCTGAAATATTTTAAAGAAATCAGTGAATGGTCAGAGTAAAGAAAAAAAGAGGCAAAAAAATATAACCAAAGACCATTATTTTAGTTTTTTCTAAAATACCGATCGTCATTGAGAATCAGTAGCAGAACTATTCAGTGTTAATGCTAATTTCCTTACTTTATTTTACAGCGCTCAATTTTTTGATCTGTTACCTTTTTCTTTAAATGACGGGACAGTCGATTGAAGCGACTGATTTCACTTTTTTATATCGATGGGTTACCTGCTAAGAAGTTAAACAGAACTGAATCTTTTTTTTTTTTTTTGACAAAACTTTGACTGTTTTGACAACAGTTAGGTTCCTTCTATTTATATTCAAAATGTCATCTCTTTTTTTTTTTTTTTTTTTTAAATTGTTTCTGTGCTTAAATGTGTATTCTTCTAACATTTACTACTGTTGATATTGTGGGCAACAGTAACTTGAGCTACGGTTGTCAAAACAGGACCAAATATCAATAACCGTACAGTTAGTGTATCAAACATCATTGTATTCGCTAAATCATAAATTAGTTTGATTTTTTATATAAAATCTGTCGAATTCGCTGTTGATACTGTCAGCTGGTAATATTTTTTGTATACGTGTATTTCAATCAAATTATGTCTTTGTGATCAATGAAACAGTGATACTGAAAGTGCAAAAATGAGAAAAAGTCTTCTAAAATTTATGTGTATATATTTGTCTAAGATGAATTGATCGTTAAACGATATGAAAATCTATTATCAACATTTTTTTAATATTATATCAGTTGCAGT